GAAAAAGCGACTCGCGCGAACGGGGGAAACTTGCGCCGCCGTATAATGCGCATTTGATAAAAAGTTGCGCCCGCGCGCAATACGGAAGATACTGTCGGCGTTATTTTTCACGCGGTTGCCGCTTTACATTTTTATCGCTGCCGGATAAGTCATCTAATCCGGCACTGTGCTGTCTTGCATTGTATATATTATATACAAGTTTGTGTCAGGTAACGCGAGCCGAGCGGCTTGTTTCAGCGGCCGAATATCGCGGGTTTTCAGTTTTATAAGCTGAATCCACTAATTAAAGGATCTCGCGTCACGGACGTGTCGAGGCTTTCTATTTTTCCTCCCCGCTCGACGTAACGGAGTTATTTCTTGTAAAATCTCTTGCGCGGTTTTTAACGAGCCAAAACTGGAACGATCGATCGGCACGTCCAACCGCAAAAACGCAAGCACGAAATATATCGGGCGAGCCGTTTTTTGCCCGTTTCTCCGACAGATTGCGCCGCCATACGTTCCTCGTTTTCGTTTCCCAATCGCATGACAAATCGTTAGCCGAATATTACGGACAACGGTGGATAAACCGAAATATAAAGTCGACGAGAGTTGCGCGCGCGGGCGGAACAGCGATAATTCGCCGGTAATTCTATCCGGTTAAGGAGAATTTCCGTCGTTATATCGACATCGGAAAAAAAAAATAAAACAAAAGAGAGAAACATATTCGCGATGACGGCAGCGTATCGGTGAAAAATTTCGAGAAGTTTATTTGAAACATTGATGCGCGCGTTGTGAGCGTAATACCTCGATTTAATAAAATCCAATTAAATTATCGAATTAAATTAACGAATCTCTCTAACTGTTTATTTATTTAATCGATGCCAGTGTGCTGTTACGTCTCATCGATAATATTCCACGTATAGTGAGGAATGCGGGAGCGTCAAATATTTAATTACTAAATTAACTCGTATTATTTGCACGTTACTTAAAATTTTAATGTACTCTTTCTCCCTCTTCCTCGCCCCTTCCTCTCTCTCTTTCTCTCTCTCTCTCTCTCTCTCGATCTCCATTTGTCTCTCTTCTGATGCATGCGCGCGTAAATGCGTGTATAAATATTAGAGGGAGAATTAATTAACATCACATACGCACTTATCATTAATATTCGCCGTAACTTTTCAACATTCACCGAATACCTTTGTAATTAAAAAGCTTAAATTAAAATTCTGGTAAATGTAGGATATAGCGGAAGGGTGCGGGGGGGAAGAGAGGGAGGGAAAAAGGCAGAAAGACAGACGACGTGCGCTCACGTATCTCACGTATGAAAAATCTGTCTCATAACGCGTCAGAGCCGCGTGCGGAAGCGGCCTAACGAGTGTCAGTTTGGTCGAAACGAACGCGCGCGCGCGTTCAGTCATGCCGAAAATGGTCCATGGCGAATTCCGCATTGCGGAATAATTCGGTAAACGCTCTTACCTCCAAGTTGTTCGATACAATCGATGCGTCGGCTCTCGGGAATGAATGTATTGCAACAAGTATATCGCGCGCGAGAGAGAGAGAGAGAGAGAGAGAGAGAGAGAGAGGGAGGGAGGGGCGAGAGAGGAAATCGTTAACGAGGAACGAAAGTTCCGCAATTAAGGCATCCTGCACACCAGTGTGTGACATTATTACTTTAATTATCTCAGGTAACGGCATAATTGCATTCGGGGCATAAATTACAGTCAGTATAATGCGCGTGGCGAAGCGCACGGCCGAAAATTGCCGGGGAACGTTTCAATTGCAACTCGTGTTGCAAACGCGCGAGTGGAGCGCATGCGCGCGCGTATGCTTGTTTCCGGCGTTGTTCTCTTTCTTTTTCATCTTTTTTGACTCTCCTCGTTCTCGGTTTCGCGGGAGTGCGTCATTAAACAGCACATGCTGCATTGTTATCGAAAGCAACGAGACCCCCTGTCGATAACAGTGAGACAGACAGCCGCGCGCGCGCCGCCGTCACGTTGATTCGTCGAAATACCTGCTGATCCCCCTCGAATAAATCACGGAGCGCATAATTAATCGAGCCCGATTGTCTGTCACGCAGCGATATCGCTGAACAATCCAATTTATTGGCTGAATGGTAATGTCCGTTATAAACACCGTCGTTGATTTAAATATGGCGTCTACTACCTAATGTCCGTGGTGTATGCGGTATTGTCCGAAAGGGAGAAATCGTCGCCCAAGAGTCGAGGAAATCACCAAGTCGCGGTTTTTCGAGCGGACGGCCGCCGCGTCGCCGCGGCTCCGATCGGCGACAGTTTCACAGGACGGGAACGGTGAATTTCGGAAAGCTCGATCTCCCGCTGGAATTCCGCTGGAAAAAGTAAGGGGAGAGAAATAGAGGGAGTGAGAGGGAGAAAGGGCGGGGGAGAGGAAGAGAGAAGAAAAAAGAACGATCCCGGCGACTCGACTCTATTCCCTACTCCGTTTGTACTTTCGACGCGCTTCATCGACTCGTCGTAGTCGGGTTTTCGTAGCACAGGTCGCGGTCGATTGATTAGTAGGATTTCAATTAACCTCGCGGGCAACGAAAAAGCCGGGGCGAAGCCTCGCGCGTTAGAGGGAGAAGCCGTAATTCGTGACCCAAACTTCTAAATGCCGCGCGGTTTGCAAAACCGTCGTGGACTCTTATTGAACGGCTGCTGCAATCGACCTCCGGATCGCCGGGCCGCCCTTCGCCCCTCCCCCCTCCCTCCGCCGTTCGTTCTCCTTTCTCCTCTTTAATCTCTGTCGCGTTTGTTTGCGATTTCGCCTGAACTTTGTCCTTCAGAGCCGTTTATTGCCAGCCCTTATCTCACGCGGATGTGTGTGTGTGTGTGTGTGTGTGTGTGTGCATTTGTCAATATTGACGTGTCAAAATTTCGATACGCTTCGCGACGAAATTTATATCGTTTATCGATCTTTCCGTCCTTCGTTACATTGTGCTCCTCTCTTTTTGCTCTCCCGTCACCCTCCCCTGCTTTCTCTTCCGTCGCATTTTCTTTCCTGCCGCTCTATTCACTCTTTCTTCGCATCTCGCTCCGCTGGGATAAAGGAAAGATTTGAAGCAGAAGTCGAGCTGACGGTTTGAGGAAGGTCCCCATTTCCCGCCTTTCCCATTATGGATTCCCCGCGATACGCTTCCCCGCTTGGCCGCACACGAAAGCTGAAACTTTCGCTTAATGACAGAAGTTTTATTGCTGGCCATCGTTCAACCCGCCGACATGCCAGGAGCGAACACGGCGAAAGAGAGGAAGGGGCAGAGAGAGAGAGAGAGAGAGAGAGAGAGAGAGAGAGAGAGAGAGAAAGGAAGAGGTAGAGTCGCGACGCATCGCGAATACGTCTCACCGTCGTCGTTCTCACCCAATTTTCAACTGCGACTGCGGTTGGAATTTGGAAATGCCGATTTCTATGCCGGGCCCGAAGCAAAAGTGACCACCAATTGCCGAGCGCCGGCGACCTCGAGCGAATTGCTACTTGTCACTTATCTTTATTTCCGCCGCGGACGACCCGCGATTGGTGGGACGGCGGATGGGCGGGAAAGGGCTGCGTATTGTTTATAGCCGGGGGAAGCGGCGTTATACAGGAGAGTGACATGTTTCGCCTCGGGCGCGTTTAAAAACTTGCATTCGCGCGATAACGCTCGCGCTTATCCGCCGAGATCTCCATTCGAGGCCGACGTTCGGCGGAGCGCGCGCTATCAAACGGCTCTTGATCGAGATGATCGAATTCCGCCGGCCACAAGTCCGCGTCCCCTCTCGGCGTCCTCGCCCCGCTGTGTGCAGGCCCCTTTATACCTCCCTTCGCGCGTTTTGGAAAGCGTCGCGTTAAATAATACATTCGTTGAAAGGCAGCAGGATGTGCTTTGGGCGCTTTGCAGCGGGAAATTACCCATATGGAGAGTTTCTAACACATAACCGGGGCTGCAGGTGGATAGGGAGGAGAAGGAGGAGGAGGGAGGTATGTAGCGCGGGACGATAAACACGAACGTAGCTCCATCCCCGGCGCGTCTATGCGCGCGCGTGTATGCGAAGATAGTGAAATTTTACTGCAGATGTTCGCGCTTGTAATAGCTGTGCGAGAGGACCACCGCTGGCGAGGCCAGGGGCGGGGGCGGTGGCATCGCGCTGATCCAGCCAGTTTTACGATAATTATAGTCACGGACAAAACGTGCCGATACACGACGCCAGATACGGCGTGTGAGGCGCGTTTATACTTTTGTTAAGCTTCGCCGTTTTCTCCTCGCGATCATTGGGTCGTATCTCTCTCTCTCTCTCTCTCTCTCTCTCTCTCTCTCTCTCTCTCTCTCTCTCGCTCGCTCCCTTCGCCATACAACGCACCCTCGTCGATGAATTCGGCGGGGCAAAAGGGGGCGTAATAATTCTGAGAAAAATATCTATGCCGAGGTTGGAAGTGATCGCAGCCGGAAATTGTTATAAACAGTTATAAAGGGGATGAGAAAATACTGAAAGGGGATGGAAAAAATGTCTCGACGTAGATCCCGCGAGCGTGTGACAATATTATTGTTCGGGTTTATCTGTTTCTGTTTCTCTCTCTCTCTCTCTCTCTCGCTCTTTCCGTCGAGGTGAACGGAGATTCAACGGCGTGTGCCCCGTGCCCCGAAATAATCGAGCAAATTTGCAACGGGTCACGTCTCGCTGAAATTGGCGCGGATATTCCGCAGATAGAAAGGAATTCCGTGTAGTCTTTAGAGCGTTCATTTTACTGTCGCAATTGAACTTTATCGCGGAAGTGCCGTTCGTGATCGCGGTGATGTCGACTCGTTCCGACGGATTCGCAGCTCCGTACGGGCAATCCGAAGAAAGGGGCGACTCGGATCATGGGGGTGTCTCGCTCTCGACGATTATCTCGAACGACAGAATCGCGTAACGTTGAAAAATCGAGCGGCGCGAGAATAGTTAATCGATGGGGCGCTGGTGTTATAAAATCGCGGGGGGGGGGGCGGAGGGGAGGTGCAAGCCTCGTGTGTCAAGTCTCGTGGAGGTACTCACCTTTAACCGCGTTGAGCTTATTCCCGACCATCTGCTTCGCCACGAATGCAGCCATCTTGGTACTTTGTAGTTATCGCACCGCTATCAAAGTCACAGGAATCTGAAAAACGAAAATTCGGGCTATTAACTTGATGTTTCCCCGCGACGTGGAATAAAGCCGAGTGCCGCGCTCTCCCGCGCGTTTGATTTTCCGCGGAAATTCGGCGATATTACCGCACTTCCGCGGGAAACGCGCGGCCTCTGTCGGCCTTTCGAACTTTCTATTTCTCCCGACAGCAACGTTCTCCCTCGAAACAAAATTTCACGGAACGAAGATAAACGCTTCGCGTATGATACTTCTGTCTGTTTACTTCCTTTTTGCGCGAGACATGTCTGCAACTTCTTCTCCGTCTCTCGCAGAATTCTCCCCTCTTGTACATTCCACAGCTACCCCTCAAATTTATACGATGTTCCTCTCCGACGAAAAATTTCGCGACATTCAATATCCCCGCGCGATTGACTTAACTTTCTCGAACGAGATCTTTACGGAGTAATAAAACTTTATTTCGCATCATATATCGGCGGAATTATATAGATCCTGGTTATATCGCCGCTTTTTATTGTCGTGTAAAAAAATTATGTCCGATCCAGCCTGCACATACATGCGTGTGCGTGTGAGCGTGTGTTTGTGCCACAATTTTTTCATGACACTCTCATCTTAATTAGCATCTGTCTCATCGATCCACCGAAAGTGTCCACGGATAATCGCGCCACCCTTTATCGCTCGGCCGCTCAATTTGCAGATTTTCATCGAGCGCCTCCGACTTAAATCTCAAATTCGCCGAAATGTCCCGCATTGAAATCATCGAAGGAACGTGTGACGGCTACGAAAAATGTAACAACTTTCTTCATCGTACACGTTGTCGTCCCGCCATCTCTCCCCGTCTTCATGCTTCAGCACAGAGATGAAATACGTTTCCCGAGGGTCGACGTCGTCGGCCTTGATACGCCGACGATGAAAGTATTTTAATCTTACGGTATACGCACACACGTCATGTATGTCAGGACGGTCGGAGGCTGCGACGAACGTGACCGCCTTCCAGTCTCGTCGTAATTATTCTATGTATTGTATGTAAAAAAAAATTCTATGTAAAAAATATCTGACAGTTGATAAAACAACATGCGGCCCCTCATCGCGGTAATTGAATCACGAACGCGCGCGCGTGCGCGCCTGTATAATTTTAATTTTATAACGAATATAACACAAACACATACACACACACACACACACACACGCGCGCGCGCGTCTGCGTAAACAGGCACAATGTGCAATCAACGTGAGCATTATATAGCGCAAGCTGCGGTAATGGCCGAAGGAAATGAATCGGTCGGGCGATGAAAGAAGGGATCAATAGAGAGAAATACACAGGGTAGACAAGAGAATGGGGGACGAACGAGGGGTGGAAGAGTGCCGGAGCCTGAAGACGACGCCAGTGAAACGGCGTCGAGACGTCTCGGCGCCTCAGCTCCCTAACCCCGCCGGCCTGCGTGATTTTCCTGCGTGAACAACACGCGACAATTTATCCCCCGACAATGAGCGGGATAGAGTTGCTACTCATGCACGCGCTATTTCTTCCCCGCCTCCGCGTAGCGTGCGTAACGCGCAGCACGCTTGTTTCTCGCATGATAAAAATCCCTTTCGGACGACCCCGAGCTTCGCGTTTCGCGGCTGCTATATAATCATCGTCTATTTTCAGCGGGATTATTCCCAACGTGTTGATCCCAACGCCCGCCGCCGCCGCCGCCTCGTGATCATTCCTTCAGCTCATTCGCTCAAAGCGTTATAATTCCCGTCTCGACTTTGAAGCGGGCCCCGCTATTTAATGGAGACGCCTCCGAGGAGGCCGTTGTAAGCGACCGTGGAGCCGCGAATAAAATTCGATCTCCAGCGAGTCCGACGAGGTTTAGGTCTCGCCGCAGGACGCGCGCGCCTGTCCATATGTACATCGGGACGCAGGAAAGGGTTCGAAAGCATCTGGCTCTTACGCCCTCAGGATGGGCGCGAGATTCTCGTCGTCCTACGGACGGCTTCAAAGGAGCGCCGTGTAATTTCGCACGACGCCCGAAGCTCCGCATCGTTGAGGATTAGAGTGGGAGCCTGCTCAAGTATCTCTCGTCTTAGAGGGCGAGAGCGACAGAGAGAGAGAGAGAGAGAGAGAGAGAGAGGGAGGTATATGTAGACAAGGGTGTGTGCTTCTGGTCTTAGAGAGGCGGTTGGTTCGTTAGAACCACGACAGCCTGGACAGGCGGAATCCGATGCGATCTCTCGATCCGTCGCTCTGATCTATTTAATGAAAGCGACAGGCGGAATTTTCGACTCGGTCAGCGCGCGCGTTCCGACTCGTCCTCGCGCAGCCGGCCGAAACGGCAGCGACGAACGCGAAGCGACGGGAATTACGATTTGATGGATGCTCAGGGCTGCGACACCGTGGCGCGTATCAGTATTGCGCGCTCCGTGTGGGGTGGTGGTCTTGATTGTGCGATTTAATGTAACGAAGGAGCGAGTCGCGCGCGCGCGAGTCGCTCTCCCTCGTTCGCTCGCTCGCATATTCCACGGCGGAGGTCCCGGCGAGATCCGGAAAGATTGAGAGCTTAATTACGGCGCTCGATTCATCAGGCTTGACGTCGCGAGCTAATTCGACACGTATAAATACTCGCGCGCTTGATACTCGATCAAATTACGTCGCGTCATCCCGCAAATAAGAAGTCATGTGGAGAAGGCCGTCTCCCGTCTGTCGCGTCTCCGGCGCGATCGATCGATCCATCACGCGCGATCCATCCCCGGCTCGCTTGTCGACGTGCTTGTTGTTGTCGCCGGCGTCGGTTGTCGGGGATTCCGTCGGCTCGTCGGCTCGCTTGATTTTTCGTCTTATCAGCCGTGGGATATCCGAGGATACATATTAACCCCCTCGATTGCGCGCCGCGCCGGACGCCGCTAAAGTGAATATCGTACGATAACCTTTGGAACGGCTTAAAATTCTTCAACCCTCGATTTTTCCAACCCTCCTCTCGGGGAAGCGAGACGAGGCGGCCGATAAGAGCGAAGGAGACTCGCCTCGTCCCGAATTTTGGCGCGACGCGTTTCACGCAACGGCCTTTACCTCTGACCTACGTGAGAGAAGGTCCTTTCGAGGAACTTGGCGTGTAATCGTGCCCGGTGAACGACAGAATCGAGAAAGAACTGCTTCAATTTACAGACGAAACCTCAGGAGGCGGTCAAAAGGTTCTACGTGTGAGAGAGAGAGAGAGAGAGAGAGCTGCGCGGTCTATTACTACACGTTTGCCGTTTGCCGTGCGCCGCGCGCTCGCGACAACGACGACGACGACGACGACGAGCGACGAGAAGCACGCCAAAAACAATTTCTACTCCGTCGTATTAACAACGACAGCGGTTCGCAAATGTCATTTCCGAGAATACAAAAGAGACGTTAGTCCAAACTGCCAAGTATGGCGAGACGGGTGGAAAAGGGCAATGCACACGTGTGCACGTGTGTGCGGCGGAATACGTTGAATACGTCTACACGCTCCACACAGCGGGAGAGCGCATTTCTTATTAACGCTGTTCATCCTGTCAGCAGGGCGCGGGAATTTCCGAGACGGGACTTTCATGCATCTTACGCAGCAACGGCTGCAACGTTGGAAAAACCCGCTTGCGTCATTCACTGTCGAATTTTCAATTCCGCTCGCCGGTACGGCGACTTCGTCCTCTTGCCATCCCTTTTCCCGAACGCTCCCTCCTCGCGCTGCCCTCCCTCGCGCGAATACCCCGCTCTGTGTTTCGCGTTCCTTTCGCGAAAAAGAGGAATTAAATTCCTCCCGGGGTTCAGGCACGACCGACAGCCGAAAAAATAAAATGAAGTTTACGCACAGCTTTGCTTGTGCATCGGCAACGTCGAGGAATAGTCGACCTCCTGCTCCCTGCCAGCCCTACTTCGCGAAGATAGCGACCGTGTATATATATACCGCGTGGAGAGGAAAAGAGATCGCTTAAAAAGAAGCCCGTCCCTGAGCTATGCAAATTTTGTTGCACAAACTGCGAGTCGAGTCAAGTTGAATAAAAATTCAGCTCGATATCAGCGATTTGTCGTGGGAATTTGAATAACAAAATTTGAATAACAAAATGGAGCAGCCAGCTGTGAAGTGTGTTGGCGGAACTGGGTTGGCGCAGTTGTGTGTATAATGCAGAGCTAAATATGTCGCGCTGGTTTCACAAGAACAAGGGATTAAGGAAACACGAAGATCCGACTCAGACAGAATCAGGACGGCCATTTCGCCCATAAGTAGGCCCGACAACGAGTTCGTTCAACTCGATCCGGCAGTTCCTACGATCGAGTTTCTGTCTCTTTTTTTTTTTTTTTCTATAACGCGCGGCACGCGCGCGTTAAATTCCGCGCATTTATCAAGTAATGATCGTTGTGCGGTGGAATAGAAGAACCCTAAGCCGAATGTAATGTGGTGTATGAGTTGCGGCAAAGCGAGCTCGCCTATTAACTCCGCGCGTAGTTTCCCGAAAGTAAACGAATTCACCGATGCGGCGGTAATGCGGCGAGCAGTCGAAAAATCTGCGAAACTCTTGACCGCCGCGGAACGAATGCGTCGCAATTAGCATAAATTTTCGAGCGGAACCCCGACGGGCAACTCAGTTTATTAATGAGCGAAGGAGCAGAGAGAACCCGCGCTCACTCGTTTGCGTTTGAGTAGCTTTGAGTGAGTGAGTGAGTGAGCGAGAGAGAGAGAGAGAGAGAGAGAGAGAGAGAGAGAGGGGAGAGAGGGGTGAGCAGAGGAAGAGAACCGCAACCGCATTTTCCGTCAAGACGCGGAGAGTCCCGTGACATCCTCGAGCGGCCGCGTAACCTTATGGGTTTCACCGGGACCTTTGAGAACGGAGCCATTGTGGAGGAAACGCCGCGTTATTGCGTCGCCGTGAATTCGGGCGTGTTCGGGAATCGAGCAAAACGGAACAAAAGTAATCCGAATACGCGCGACGCGCGCCGACCGCTAACGCGCATGAAACGAGCATGTGACGAGTGTGCCTCGCGACGATAATAAAATTTATCAGCC